TACGTAAAATCACCTTACGCCGTCGAGGCGGCATGCGTGTCTTTGAGCCCGGGTGAAGTAGCACAGGCTCCCCCGCTTCCTGTCTGCCGTGTAAAAATAGATTGCATGTATGCATCCGCTACCTCGTGAGCTTTCTTCGTGGCGATGTGTGCATACATTCCTTTTGTCGGCCCACTTGGGAATCCAAAATCTGCATGTGGTGCCGCAACAAAAATGATGTATGCACACGGAACATTACATCACGGAATCTAGAATAAATGAGAAAATAAATTTATTTTATAACAATGAACTGGTTCAACTCTTTTTGGAGTCCCTTATTAGTGACAGGGGGTGAAAAGGAGTTAACTGCATTAGACATTTATTTACTTATTCTCGTTGCGTCCGCCACCATCGGCGGCTGTGAATAAATTGGTGGAATGATGTTAAAAAGGGAAATGTACTTTGGGAAGGGAAAACCATCAGAAACCTCCCAAACGTTTTACGCTTTAATAAAATCCCTGGTGAACTGGACTGTTTTAACTTATCAGATGACACACGTTAAACTTCAGTTTGAGTGGAGGCCCCTCAGAGGGCTTTTGTTCTGGAGATAAACGGCACAACTTTGTGGTGAGTGTGTTTACAGATGAGCCCAATCTGTCAATGCAGTGTTTTTCTGTTGGCGAAATGTTAATGAAATAAACTGGATCAAAATATTTGCGTGCTGCTTTGTTGACATACTTGAGACAACAAAATATGCCTCTATCCCCCTTCTTTGTGTATTATGCATATTACTGTTTGTTATTAAGAATCCCTTGGAAGATCACTAATGGAAACAAAGTGCCACCACAGGGCAGTTGTACAGCAAGTAAACCTCAAAAATTTAACCAACCTCTCTGTGAAATGTGCAGGAGAATCATCTTCTTCACGCAGACACATTAGAAAAAAAAAGGGCCGGACTGAGATAGAAAAAAATGAAATGGCTTGAAAGGAAATCAAAGAACAGGAAAGAAAGAAAATAGACCGACCCTCTTGACCTGAGAGATTAGTATTTTAGCAATATCATATCAGCTCGCAGCCACGTGGGGAGATTACTGTGGACTGGCTCAAGTGGGAGAAATGTGTATTTACCCATTAGACCCATTGATCAAAGTAAACACCCTGCTTGGAATGAATCAATGACGATCAATGAGATGACACCAAACAGGCTACGGGCTGGAAATATCAAAAGGTCTGTTGGCTGCACCGCGGATGTAATCGCAGAATAATAAAGGGTGATTCATCAGAAAAGTACAACGAAGAATTGGTCATAAGTCACAGTTAGACGTTCTAAATGTTCCAAGTTTGGTTCACAAAACGGCGTGAAATAAGCCAGTGTTTATTCCTTAGAGATGATTACCAGCCTAAAAGGAGGAAACTGACACGTGAATAACTGAAGCTCTTAAGATGTTCACAATGAAGACAGCGTCTCCGGCTTCGCCTGGAACCGCCTCTCACGCATCTCTTCTCCCTTTTTTCTTCCAGCCGACTAATGATTGAGAAATGCCATCAAAGGATTCTTTTAAAGGGCACTCCCCCAGACACACTCTGCACAGCGAGCGAAGCATTGAAGACGCCATGCGATGCAGAGCTGTTTATAACTTATTTCCATCACTTTCAAGAAGCCTAATGTGTTCCTTCGAAAGATGTAGGAGCTCATTTGCATTCAGTACTTGAAATCCAATCTTTATTGGGTTGGACCATTCGATGAAGAGAGTGTTCTGCGTCGCTCCGTCATGAGGGGTCAACGGTCGCTAACCGTTGGTCACATATTCAGGTGACTCAACATGAAGTAAAGAGGCGTTCGGAGAATGTTTTTATTGACGGTCCGACTTGTTATTCCAGAAGTACGTCTGTGAGAGAGCGAAAAAGCAGCTCGTTGCTGTTCCGTCTGAAGGCATTCAGACGGCTTTTTGAATTTGACCACACAGCTTTGCCGCCGTTGTTCTTATTGTGTTCTGCTATCAGGTAGCAGCTGGTTAATCAGGCACATCTGCTGGAGGCATTTTTAATCAACGGCTCGATGGAAGGCGCAACAATCCTGTTAGCTCTGAAACCCAAATGCTAATAGGCCCATTCAAACAGGAGCGGCATTATCTTTAATATTAGTGAATGACGCCTCAGCCTCTGTGTTTCATCATTTCATTCTCATAATGAAATTTCCTGAACCTTTTGTGGCCTGGATACAACGTACGTGTGAGGTTAAAGTTTAATCATTTATCAATGTCTGATTAAGCAAAGCAGAATCAGTTTTGTGGTACAAATATTGAACATTTTCCTTCCAAAAAAAAAAAAAAAGTATGACTCATGCAGATATGATGCCTCTACTCATACTTATCTAGTAAGCATGTATATTTTATATATATGCACACATGATGAATTTAAGCTTATGCACATCACATGCATCTGTGATCTATGCAAACACAGGTGCCATCAGTAACTGAAGATCATGGTGACATGGACACCACATGAACTCAAACAAGCCGATTAAGGGACAAATTAATACCAAACCAATGACATCATCACATTCGAACATAAAGATATCACCGCGGCAGGATCACGTGGTCACACCTCTTCCACTACTGAGAAAGCAGCAAATGATGACATGTAAACAAAAAACCTATTTTCATGCATTTATTTGCAAATAATGCTCTTTGGAGTCTGATATAAAGAGGCTAAAGGGCACAAACAGCTGTTTATCCACAGGCTTCCGCCGTGTGATTTTTATCAAACGAAGAAGTGACAATTGCAGTTCTTTAAATCAGCACTTCTGGCTGGCTTCAAAAGTGACTCATTTCCCCCGGCGTCCATGTTAAAGTGCCCAATTTTACAGTAGAAACAAACATGTTTCCAGCCCGGTACGAAGGAAAAAAAAAATGTTTTGTCAAAACAGCTGTCAGTGAATATAAAGTGGATGTCGTTGTTTCAAACATCCTGTTTAAACTGCATTATGACCCTTCTAATAAGGGATAGAGCTTTGAGCTTCACCACAGCTCTTAACAAACCAGTAGGTGGGCTCACAAGGGCGCACTCTTCTTTTATTGGTCTATGGGAACCGTTCATGAATTAATTTCAATGCATGGTCATCATAAGCAGAGGCTGTGAATGCACATCAGTCTGCAAAGCACTAACAAGCCAGCAAAGAGTGCTTAAGCTATGAATATGTGAACAGGACGTGTAATTACATCCAGGCCTCATTATAAAGTACTCTGGCTAAAATAACACAGGGAATCCTGTGTGTGTGTTTTCCAAATGTATGATGTGCAGCATTTCTATTGACGTTGACCCCAATAGAGAAAAACAGCAACATTTTTAACTCGAGCGGTGTCTCCTTGCAATGACTGATTGACAGCTGATCTCCTGGATGCAATGTGCACAAACACCTCTTTAAAGGCTCATCACAGCTCAGCTCTTACAAATTACCGCCGCATATGTCGCCAGAAAGACGAGAGTCTTAATTATATAGTTTACCTTCCCGATTGCAGTGAATATAAATACACACTGGGTTCAGTTTCCAAGAGCTGAATTCAATCGGGTGACGACAACGACGTCAGTTTGATTTCGAAGCACCTTTTCGGCGTTCGAACTTCATCGCCCTGTATCAACGAGCACGAGAAGCTCCGCCCTTAGCGATGCATATGAGCCAGCGTGGGGCAACGTGGGAGGGTGGAGGGTGATTGCGTAATATGAAGAGAAGGGCCTATGAAGCTCGCTGTGCGCGAGTGGTTGGATCGGCTTTGTCGCTGTTTTAGTTACTTTCCCGCGCGTCTCAGTCGATGGAAAAAGAGTCTCGACAGCAATCCAGCTCTGAAGGAGCCCCTTTGAAATCCAGCTGCGTTGACAATCTTGCGTCAGGCCCGGGCTTCCGGGCACATCGGCACTCTCTCGTGTGCAGACAGCCTGAATGAGATGTTACACATTGTCTGACTCTCCCCGTTCCCTTCTGTTGCTCTTGTCATTATCCTCTTCTACACCTGCTGCAACATGAAACGGAAATGACAAAAATAGCGTGAACGGTACGGCACTGTCAATCAAATCAGTTCACTGGCCTCAGGCGAGCCTCACTTTGCTTTTCAACCTCCGGCCGACGTGCACACATGGACGAGACAGACGCACAACATTTCCTCAACGCATCCGCTTTAAAATATTCATTATTTGGGATGTCATTTCTCAACCAGACGTGTTTAAACTTCAAAATGTTTAAATGTCTCTAATCTGTTGTGTTTTAAATCACACACAAGGCAAATCAATGTTCCCCTCGTGTCGTTTCTCCCCACTTACTGCAAATGTAACCGTCTGTTTGAACAGTACTTACATAGTTGACTTAACACCTCACTAAAATATATTCCCCTCTTTTGGACATCGATAAACATGCCACATATTCAGAGGGTGTTTTTCAGATCCCAAACGCACAGATATCTGATCAAATCATTTATGCATTGCAGCCAGAGCAGCGATCTCAATAATCCGAGCACACCGTAAATCCTCAGTCAGCAACAGGATGCTTCCATGCACCATGAAATAAAAAGCAGCAGGGTTTTATCCTGTTAGTGAGCCTCTGTCTGGCGAAGCAGCACAGGGCAGCTTCCTCTGAGCTCCACCAAACAGCCCAGCGGTTGAACTCACATGATGAGCTCAGGTGTTTCACCTCATGAGTGGATTCAGGTAGCTCGCACAATGGTGTGTGTGTGTGGTGGGGATGGTGGGCTTATTGTCTCACCTGGGAACATTAATTCAACTTTTATTATTTACCAATGGCTGACGCACCAACAATTTCGAATGAACCCCCCCGCGCAGGTTTTATTCCTCATTCATCGGTACCATAGCAACAGTTTCACCAAGTCTCTACTTCAAAAATCCATTTCTTCTAAATGAGTAAATTAGGAAGCAACTCAGCCAAAGGACTTAAAAAGACGCCTGCAGCCGACATGTATACTTCACGCCCCACAAACGACGAAGAAGCACTTGTTTCGCTCTCGCCTTACCTGCGCCGCTCGACGTGGAGCTCCAGATGGCCGGATTGCTGACGGCGGGCACTCGGGCTTGTGGACGCCGCGCTGTGGTGCGCACGCCAGCAGCCAAAGCAATGGGATGAAAGAGACAGGAGGGAGGGGTGGGTTGTGTGGCGAAGGCGCAAATGCTGAATTATGGATGTGCAGGGTGGGAGGAAGGTGAGAGAAGGGGGGGGGGATTCCTCTGCCTGCTCTCACTCCCCGGATCGCAGAGCGTGAATCATCATCGGCTGCGTGGATCGAATGGCACGGTCCACTGCAGGGCTGGGTCGGCGCGGCACACAGAACACAGGGTCCCTGCCGAGATGGCTGGGATGGGATGTGAGGGAGTCGGCGGGAGGAGAGGGTGGGGGGGTGGGGGCATAAATGAGAAGCAGCCAGCACTCGAATGTTTCAGATAGCATGGAAAAGCCGTATGCTCTAACGCACGGATCCAATCTCGGTCCGTCTTATCAGTTTATTCTTGGACTGGGAGCTAACAGTCCTCTTAACCGGCGGTCGATACCTGGAGTTCTCTATGGCGACCGCCTTTCAATATCCCACTCACAGTTTATTCTCCCCCCACTCAGACTCCATAAATCAGTTAGTTCCAACACTTGGTTTCCCCCACTCGACAGATCTCCTTTCTATTATTATTCATTTAGCCAATTCAGCATTTGCTTTAAAAAAGATGCTGTGGCTCCCTGAAACGAGTTCGTTTCAAACCCTGATACGTGTAACAACAGTACACCTTGCATTGACTAATCTGGCCCCAGCCGCCCCGCGAGGTCCCCATTATTTCTCAGCTGCTTCCAATTACCTCAACAGTGGACTTAAACTCTTCTCTGTTCTCAGCTTGTCATCGTTTTGTTGCTGTTCACAACTGTTACGGGTCCTCTTGTGTTGCCTCACGCCAGCTTCTTGTCAAACTCCATCTGTTGTCTCCGGTGTGCACTGAAGGTCTTCCAAAAGCCGGCCCTGGAGGACGGTGACAGCTGCTGGTACGACGCACTCTGCCTCAAAACACTGATGCGCACTAAAGACCAGTTTACCAGCGACCACATCCTTCATTCATAGTGGTTTCAGGTCCACCCGTCGATCCGACAGGATCCCACTGACAACTCACCAGGCTCGTTCAGGTGCGCTTCTGCTCTCCTCGAGCACCCCTTGTGGATGTGTGAGGGACACAGCTGCACTGGGGGAATATTCTTTGTTGCTTTGTCATTGGGAGCAACCTGCTTTCACGCAACTCCTCACCATATTGATTAATCAGCAGGTGAGCTTCTTCACTAAGCAGCCCTCTGTAGCCTATATGTGCAGCAAAAGACTAAATGTGACCTCTCGTCACGTGGTCTTTAGTCCGTCCGGTCTTTTCTCGGGTCCATTTCCTTTGAAACCCCCACACATAACATCTGGCTGTCTGTGTGTACGGTCCTGAAATGGGAGTAAAGCCTCTATTAGAAACGGTCCTGGAGACGATTTTGCTGTTGTTTAGCAGCATGGCGACAAACCTAATCATTCCCCAAAAAAACCCTGAGATAAAGTGCTTCTCCACTACTGTCCAAGCTGGACAAAAGCCTTTTGCAACCTGAAGCCCTGCTCCTCTTCTTCTTCCCTTTCAGTGGTGGTTACATTGCATCACATTATAGTGCAGCTTTCCTGCCTCCTTTGTGCTCACTCGAAAAGCTACTGTGTAACACACTGTAGAGTAAAATAAACTGCTTCAAGCGACCATTTCCTGCATTGATTTAATTTTTCCAACCAACTCCACACTGCGTTACAGCGCGGCCTTTGAGGGCTGCAGCTCCACCTCACATCTTAGAACAATATTCAGCTCTGAAAGCACAACGTTTTGTGGGTTGTGGACAAGTCATTGCTGGGAAATGAAGGCTGCTCAGGAACAAGAATGGAGAATAATGAAAAATCTGAACTACTTTTTTTCAGGTTTTCAGGGCTTCTGTGTTGTTCAAGAATGTTTTAATGCCTATTGACTTCCTTGAGAAATTGTGACTCATAAGGTCAGCACTTTCTCTGATGTGCATGCCTATATATCATTATAATATTTTATACATTCAAACTGTTGAAGTTACATTTTATGAAGTTTATTTTCATGAAGAATTTAGATTTGAACTACAAACCGAACTCGTGCAGTTCAAACAGATTGAAACGCATCACACGCATGCGTTATAGACACGGGCCGTGTTTGTCATCTTAAATGTCACCGTCTAATTATCTTCACACTCCCACAGACGTGAAATCTGATAAAGCCACGGGCGACATTATCTGCGTCCGCTCTCAGAGGATATTTGAGGCAAAAGTGACAAATCCAGGTGACGTTTTCCGTTATTTACCCAAAGGAGCTCATCGCGGTCCAAAGAGTGCGTTCGTATTGAATCCCAATAAGCGTCCTGTATTCGCTGTATTCCATTCCAGCGCAGCCGCTTCTTCCTTTATCTCAATCGATAGGCTCAGCTGTGATGCTCTTCAAGCTTGGATCATCGCATTGACGGCGCCGAGGAGCATGCATCTCCCCGCGAGCGTGCCCTCGGCTCCGAGATTCACTTTTACACCTGTGCTTCCATCCTTGTTTAGTTCCTGCCTTGCTGGGCCCCCATCCTCGGCCCCCTGGCGCGCCACCTCCTTCCCGTATCAATGTCAGGCTGTCGGCCATGACGCCTGCGCCGCGAGGCCCGGCCACGCTTCTGTAATCATTCCGGCTGTTGCGGCGCTGATTGGTGCACCGCCCCCACCACCCCCCTCCCCGTGTCAGGCGCTGCTGTAGGTGAGTGATCAGCCGTTCTCTGGGATACACAAGTCTGCCGTTGATCAATTGCCCCATTAATCCAGCAGCCACATGGATAATGCACAGCTAGCAGGGACACGCACTCCCCCCCCGCAGCTGACACAGGCGCGTGCTCTCACTTTGCAGCCCTTGTAAAACAAGGGCCGGGGTTGTTTAAGGGAACGAAGTCGCACACGGATGATGTCCTCTCTGCACATATGCATGATGCGTCTGAGTGTTTCTTCGCAGAGATCCCGTTTTGACGACGCACCGGCTTGTTGAGGTTGAAGATAACTATTAAAGCTGCTGTACTTGGGAAAGTAGCAACTAGGAAGGCATTTTCTTCCTGCGATTTGTAGCAGCCACTTCAGCCGTTTTGTCGGCGTAAACAATGTTGACACAAGAGGAAAATTATGTTGTGTGAAACTCAGGATGTAAACTTTTCTTCCCTTTTGACGACGAAGAGCCTGATATAAAAATCCTTTGCTTCATCATCATTTTTACATCAATACTAAATTGTGCGTAAATTGTGTAAACTCTGATTGTGTTACTATATTCCTGCCAATCAGCAGAATATAATGAAATCTCTCCAGATGTTTACGCAGGAAGAGAGCAATCATTCTTAGTCCTTCCACACAATATTTTGTGATCAATCAATTCCCTCCCAACCTCAACCAAAAGGACCGCCTCATGTGACTTAACAATAGCATCACTTGTTTGAAAATGACTTTCCACCTTCGTGTCTGTTAGTAAAAAAACAAAGACAACACATCTGCAGTGAAGCTGCGTCAATCACCAATATGGCTTTTGAGCTGACTGACAGTTCTATGCGAACCTCACACAACGTCACGAGTGAGTGGCATTGCCACACAACACCAACGCACTACATCTGCAATCAGCGGGAAGCTGCAAGAGTTTGTCAGTCGGAATATTTAAACAACTAAATCAGATAAGAAGTGTCATTGTAGTTAAGCTGACATGCGCTTGATGCACTTTGCACCCCTCAGACTGTTTTATGTCCAGTTCAAACTTTAAATAAATGGACACGTTTGTCAAGTTTCGTGTGTTTTTCCTGATTAACCACGGCTCTGCCCAAACTTGAAAAGAGCTTTCTCTCCGGTGGACGCAAAGGACAACTCAAGAACTGTTGATTTTATGCTTTATTCCTCTTAAGGGTGGTTTGGTGGATCGGACAAAGAACAGAGCAGGTTGATAACCTTTCAAACCCAAAGCAAAACCCATGAATTAGTCAAGTACATTTCGATAATAACTTTCTTATGATAATAATAAATAAATGCGACTGAATTCTCAAACCAAAATTATTCAGATAAACCTAGGATAAGTCTCCATTACTTCATTTAAATGACACATTTCACTCAGTAAAGCAAAGCATGAACAAACAATAAATCATACTGTCCTACCAGTTGCGTCTCTGGGAGATTAGGAGCTGTGGCCACAGCGTCCTTTTCCTCAGGGCCGAGTGAGAGCGCCATCTGAGCTCTCCACAAACGTTTTATGCCATGCGCTTCCTGTTCGTACGCAGGCACTTCCTGTGGATGGAATCTCCATTAGCCGCATCGTCGCCCCCTGCAGTCTGGGTGCGCTCCGACTGTCCGGGGTGGACATGGCACTTGAGTGCTCTGTGCGGCTTGTGACCGGAGATTGACGCAACAGACACAAAAGAGGCAAAGTTGTCGATGACAAAGAAGAAAAGGTTTGTCAAACCTCCCAACCTCTCACCTGCTTCGTGTCTCCAGATGTTGCTCGCCATGACTCGCCGCTTCTCCTCTCAGTTAACATGCCCGCAGAGACAAAGGCGCTCATATCCAGGAGGAACTGACGAGTCACGTCCCCGCCATTAATTAAGAAGATAAAGCTGAGCCATGCGCCCGCTCATTATCTGCACACTGACCGGGTGTGTTTGTTCTGCTCGCCGGCGTCGTCCCCCTGGACAGTTTCAAGGTCAGCGCACTGCACTGTTAGCAGCATTTCGGGAAAAACCGCGTGTATTCAATCAGAGCCGCGGCCACCTTGTTCTGGGAAGTTAGCCAATCATTGCCGAGCAATTTAGACATAATGACAAAAGTGAGAGACTTTGAGGTTGCCGTGCACGGCCGACTCTCCCCCTCTTCTCCCTTTAGCTCCCTCTCAGGATCGACTCATTGCATCCACACCGCACTGCACAAACACAAGGAAATGCAACCCTGAATTGCTTTTCCTACGCCTGCCTCCATCCTTCTCCGGTGTAATGGCTACGCCGACTGCCCCCGCCACTAATAAATGATTTTTGTATGAGGCGGGGGGACAATGGTGAGGAAGGAGCAGGACAGTTTCCCTTTAAGCCCTCCATCAATCTTTTTCCCGTTCCCCCCCCGATGATTGAGGCCAATCAGGGGCATCAGGGCCGGCCTCCCTGCCCCCCCCCCCCCCCCCC